TGATGATGATGATGATGATGATGATGATGATGATGATGATGATGATGATGATGATGATGATGATGATGATGATGATGATGATGATGATGATATTAATCATAATCAGTGCATACTATATATCGCAAATCCACGCTCTACAGCATGTTCTATGCCTTTTGCAAGTACCTCAGCAGAAAACCATCCCTTTATTTGAATGTGTCATTTACTCTCTTTTTATGCGTTATCGTCTGTTGTACTGTTTTGTTTGTTTTCATCTGGATTTGAATCGGCTGATTGTGAAAGGGGTCTGTCGGGAGTTCATTTATTGGGGTAGTTTCGTGCTAGAGCTCGTTAACTTTCGTCCTGTCTGCGGTTTCAAAAAGATAAAATTTTAAAAACAAACCGCGGTTTTATATTCTCAGGCCCTTGAATGCAGGGCTAAAATTTGAATGACCAACAGAACCTAAAGGCTAATTAATGAAGGGGACTGTGAACCTGTCACGCTTTCTTCGATGTTACCCTAAAGTGTGTTAGAGAATCAGTGGAGATTTACAGCATACATATCAAACATCAGAAGCTGACCTATCTTCATCCACACCACGTTTTAACGCGTCCAATAGTTGTACTTTTGGAGACTCACATGAAGATGTCTAGACAGTCTTCGTAATTATTTTATAAGAATTCACTGCAGTGTGGTGACAGGATGGTGTCGCTGTCTCAAAAAGCGCAATGTGTAGGCTAGAATACTGTAAACCATGTTGTAGTAATTCTGTGTATGCACCAAAGGGCAAAGTTAAGTTGTTCCTGCATCTTATCCGGACATTGAGGATTGCCTTGTTAGTGAGACAACTTCCTGGGCCTTCGGCATATTGTGGGAGGGTGGCCAGTTCCTTTCCACTCCGCCCTTACTTCCCCAACTCGAAGTCAGTACCCAAAGGGTAGTGTTAAATAACAGGCCCAGATAATGAAACGTTTTAATCACTGGATCAAGATTTGTTTAAATATATATTTTGTTTCGTCGCTGGCCTCTAGGGGCGCCGTGACAAGCTATGTGTGCATTGACAAATTAATAAATGAGCTAAAATTATTTAACGTGGACAGAAGAAAGTAAACAAGCTATGGTATCTGTAGTGGTCGAAAGATTATCACGCTAAGTACGCTATTAGATCGTTATATAAACTGACACACATTTTCGATTCCGTGTGTTTACTTCATGAGCTAATCACCAGTACACATTCATGGGTCTTTTTCTTTTCGCTTATCTCCAGGGCTTCCAAACCGACGTCTGTGGGGTAGAGGTTAGGCCCTTCACTGCCGCATGTACGAGACCCGATTTCGATTAATTTCCTCATTTTTATCGAGCATCTCGGTCTTTCTACTGGGAAGTTGTATCCATTTCATCCCGAGTCGGTTCTGGCAGGCACAATTTTCCATTCCCAACTCTTCGAGTATAACTGACCAAGGTTTTTAAATCGCCACTAGGGTCCCTAACATCTAACAGGTATGCCGAAATATCAAGATAATAATACTATTTGGTTTTGTTGCCCTATTTCTATGCTATTAAAATTCTAAAACAATGAGAAGCAGTGGGCTCAATTATTTTCTAGATCCTACTCTTGTTCAAACAAAACTCACGGTTGACAACAGCAAAGTCAAGCAGGTAGAAGAGTTCGAATACCTGGGAAGCGGGTTGTCAGGCCCTCTTCGACGCAATCTGGATCATTAAGGAAGCGGACTTCAGACTCTATCTGTCAGGGCTAACCCGGGCTGAGAGGGATACAACATCCCAGCAGAAAGACCGAGATACAGACATGGGTGTTTGGCATTAAGCAAAAGAGTTTAGAAAATATCAGAAAGAACGTTAAACAATGGCGGGTACTCGGTATCTCTCAGTAGTGGTGACATTGTCTTCTAACAAACTGGAATCTGCCAGAGTCGGAGAACAACGTGTCCACACTCCACGTGTGTCAGAGCAAAGCTAGTGGAAACAAATCCAGTCGTGCATATGTATGGTATCGTAGTAAAACCAGGTTCTTGCCAATATAATGAAATCGGGGAATCCGACATTTTTCCGTTCATTGGGTACCTGTAATCAGTTTGCTTGTTTTTATTGGGGTTGGGATGTTTGTAAGTTTGTTTATTTGCTTGTTTTTATTAAGACCGTTTAATCATTTTTTTTAAACGATTCTGTTTGGATTTTCATTGAAAAACGTTGATCGAGGGCACAAAAAAGACGTAAATTAACCGTTGTCAAGGACACTCAAGTTTTGGAAGCACTCAAACTTTGGGGCATATTTTCTCACTAATGTTACCTCTGACAATAGGCGATCACCACTGTCTTCAATGGCAAATAAGTCGACTTTGCCCATGAAAGATAGACTTTGCTCATTAAAACGAGACAAATGAAAAAGCGTTAAAGTGATATCAATATCCCTATATCACAAAACATCGACGAGAGTCTGATTCTACCGTGTCGTGACAAGTATGAGTAAGCGTCCACTAATAGAGAGAAATTTGCTACAACAGCCAAATTATGCACCCCACCCCCCAATGATAATTTCCTAAGTGTTGTGCTACGAGGGTCGTTATTAATAATGTTAAGCGTCCATTGTACTAAGGTGATTAATTGAATACACTATTTCCTAAAACGAATCGCATGACGTCGCTTACTTATGCTAATGCCCATCTGCAGGGTTTTGGGAAGGCATAACAACTTTTCCACACAAGTTTCCTGTCATAGTTCTCCACATCACTTCTAATTGACCTTTTTTTCAACGATCATATATGACGCTATTAAATTTTCTTTTCACTAAGTCTAAGAGTCAACAATCATAATGTATGCCCATATAATATCATCTTTTGTCTTTGGCTCTGGGTGTTAGTGTCAACGATCATAATTCAGGCTTATAAATCATCATTTCCATTCAACTCTAGGTCTTTGTCTGAATTATATATATTCTGTTATAGTATATGTTATATGTGCATATAAATTATAAATGTGTATATTATTGTATATACATTGTATGAGGGTGCGGTGGCGAAGCGGTCAGTGCGCTCGTCTCCGAAGCGGAAAATCCGGGTTCATCCTTGGTTCGGACAAGGATCTTTTTCGCCCCCTCCTGTCCACCTTGTAGTAATGGGTACCTGACTTCGAGTTGGGGAAGTAAAGGCGGCGTGGAAAGGAATTGGCCACCCTACCACAATATGCCAAAGGCCCAGGAAGTTGTATCGCTAACAAGGCAATCCCCAATGTCCGGATCGGATGCGGGAACAAGTTTACTTAATAGATTATATAATATATGTGTGTGTGTGTGTGTGTGTGTGTGTGTGTGTGTGTGTGTGTGTGTGTGTGTGTGTGTGTGTGTGTGTGTGTGTGTGTGTGTGTGTGTGTGTGTGTGTGTGTGTGTGTGTGGATGTGTCCTGATCTTCAGGACAGCCTGGGGCGGAAGTGTGGGC